TTGCTGCTCTTTTTATTTTGCTTGCATGTTGCTTTTAAGAGGTCTGATGCACAGTTAACTCTCTTGCCCTTGGAAAGTGTTTGATCTTTCTGCTTTGAAGCTCCAGGGAAAGTTTTGTCTTCAAAATCTGAGAGTTTTAACAGGATATGTCTCTAAGAACATCATTCTGGGTCAATTATGCCAGGCACCTGGTGGACCTGTCCATCTTCAGTTTATTTCTGGAATGTTCTATGACAGCTGGGCAGATGAATCCTGCTCTTTTGTTTGGGTTTTGTTCTTCAGTAGCCCCTTTCTCCATTTCAGCCTATTCCTCTCTGATACTTTTTACTTTTTGCCTCATTTTGTTTTTTGTTTGCTTTTCTGCCTTCCTTCACTGTCTCATTACATTTTTATTTGAATGTTCTTTCCCATTATCTAGTAGTTTAGCCTTCATTTCTGAGACTAAATTACTGAATTTGTGTTTTTCTTTTTTTTGTTGAGTCCAATCAACAATTTTTCCTTTCTTCTGTTACTGATCCATTTTTGTTTTTAATGCTTGCTGTTCTAATTCATTAAAAAAATCACATGTTTTTGAGGCTATTTAGTTGATCTTGGAGTAATTGAGTTACACTTTTTTTGAAGAGAGGAAATTGGGAGAGGGACTTTTAATTACCTGCAATGTGTTGATTTTCAGTCTGTCCCTCTGCTAGCAGATCTGTATGGATGAGGACTGATGGGAACTGCTTCCAGGTGTGTTTCCTGTGGACAGGTATCTGTTCATTGTGTTGAGAGTCCTGTTTCTGGAAGTTCTTCCCAGTGGGCAGCAAAAGATGTGAGTGATGTGGGGAGCTGGTCTGTGTATCACCTGTGCCCCCGTGTTTCCAGGGTCCCAGGAGTCTCCCGCCCCTCCTCACCAAAGGCGGGTCCTCACCACCTACCTTCCTCTCTCCCTCAGCGCCTTCCCATCCTGCTCCCTGCAGTACTCAGTCCTTCTCCGTAGTGTTTGGACCCCCTAGGACCCTTTCTGCATTTCTTTCGTTCTCTGGAATCTTGGGGTATTTTTAGTTCCATCCATGGGAAAGACCTTTACCCAAAAAAGAACCTTGTCTCCTTTGGGACGGCTTTTCAGGACTTCTGTCTGCCAGGGCTTGCCAGGGGAGCTCAGGGAGGACTCTTTCTAGATGATGCACTACAGGAAATTTGAAGAGTGGAATAGTCTTATTTTCTAAGGATACTGTGTGATCTGTTTGTTTTTCTTCTGATATATATACACTTCAGAACCACTATGACTTCAGACACTCTGATGTGCCCTGAAAACTAAATTCTGAGCCTAACTTTACTCTAAGAGTTTTATCAACAGGCGTAATGTGACTGCCTCAGGAGAGTGAAGTTCCCCCAAAGTGAAATTAAGAAAAACACAGAAGGACAATTCTTTAAGAAAGGTCATCTGATTTGGTATTATAATCACTAGTACATAAACCATGTAAACATTTTGTTGATCTCAATATAACTAGTGATTTAACAGAAATGAAGGTAAGAAAAATGAATTTATGACAAGAATAAGTAACACCTTTTTATATTTATGAGTTTAGTAGTAATTTATGAGTCATACATTTCTTTATTTTATTATCCTACTAAGGATCTCTGGACAATCAAGCTGCCCAGTGAAAAGTAGAACCAGCCATCTTTTATGTTGTGCCTACTTTAACTTTCTAAGAATCATGATTTTATATCTACATTGTTTATATACAAGTGTATTTCCCGAGGTATTAGGATAAAGGCTATTTATGGGACAAACACTGGGTACAGGTATAATTCTTAAAGGTGTAGAACGTGAAACAATTGCAACTTGATCTGTGCTCTGCAAATGTAATGGGGATTTAAGTTCAGACCCAGCATGTAATTTAGTGCCCAAACCAGATGCTTCTGGGAACGAAGTGTGATTGACAGTGGCATTAAAGTCATGTAAACTGGGATTATCACTATCCTGACTGACATACTATGCTTGTCTCACATCAGGACGAACCTTTCCATTCCAAGAATGTTGGCACGGAGGCCCTCGGGTGCCTCCAAACATCCGCTTTCCCGCGCCTTACCCGCCGTTCCCTACGCAACACTTGGTGGGCCTGGGGGTGAGCGCGCCCCACAGGTCGTGCCTACAAAGCGGGCTGGGCAGCCAGCATGATTGCACGTGCCGGGGTAACGGGTCCGAGGCCTGGCGCTCCCGCACGCGCGAGCGCCGCCCCTCTCCGGAGGCCTCGGGCTGGCCACCCCTTCTGTGCGCCACACGCGGTGCCTCCCCCCAGGCAACCAGTGCGCAGGCGCAAGGCATAAAGCCGGCCAGCGCAAAGAGCTCCCATTAGTCAGAGCAGCGGCAGCGGCTAGGATCCCTGGATCATCTGACTGACAAGCGGTTGGGTCTTGTTCATGGGAACCTGCTGCATGGAGCGCCCGAGGATGTCTCCGGTGAGGAAGGTGAGAGCCACCGGGCCAAAGCCACGCGGGGACTGGCGCGAGACGGGGGAGCCATTGGGGTTGGGGGGACGAACGCTGCGCGGCAAGACAGACAGCTGGGGCGCCTGGAGGGCGCCTGGGGGCGGGGCAGGGACCCATGGGGAGCCTTGCGCGGGGCCCCGGCACCCGAGGCCCCCTGGGGTATGGGAGCGAGGACCAAGCCGGGCTTGACGGAGAGGTAACATACTCAACTTGGCCTCGCGAGCCGAGGGGGCGGGGTGGGAGCGACGAAACCCGGGAGGAAGCGCCGGCTGCCGTGGGGCTCCGCGCTCCGCTTAGCTTAGGCACCGCGAAGGGATGAGGGCAGCAGGTGATCGGCGACTTTGGCCATCAGCATCTCAGTCGCACAGACAGGGGTCTTCACCGCTGCCGCCGCTCCGACCTGCTCAAGGTTTTTTGCACTGTGGGGCCTTAGGGCTGGCGCCTGCGCACTGCGCGCCACTGAAGGCACCGCGAGAGGGGTTCGGCGGCATCCTCGGGCGCCTCGAGACCCCCGCTTTCCCGCGCCTCACCCGCCGTTCCCCACGCCACAGTTGGTGGCC